ACTTTAGTGCATGTGACAACTTTTCAGAGAATGTTTTAAATGACCCTTTTCACCCCCTTCACGCTGATTTATCTAAAGCTCTCTCTTGTTCATCTACATGCTCCAACTGTAAGGTTTTGTTTTCTCGCACAACACGTAATCACCGTATTTATCCAGTTTTCATGTGAACTGCAAGAAACGTAACGGCACCACGCATGAATGCTTGAACTTGAGTGATGCGCATGCACGGTTTCTTCTTTTTACGCTTTTATTACAATTCCATACTTACGTTATGCCTCACAACATCCGCAGTGCTAGCGTAAAATGCTGAAAATCTTCCCAGTCGGGTTCATATAGCCTATTTTGACTTGATATGCCTAAACTAGGACTCGTGGTGTCATGTTTGGTAAGAATTTTATTTTTCTTTGATATTGGACGCTCTTCTTTCTCCTCATTGGGCCTTTTCTTTTCCCAAGGAGACTTTCTATCGACGTCTGTTTCATACCCATTTTTTCAATTTGTGGGTTAAATTTGAGCGCTCAAGTGACCGAGATGTAACCAGGAAAATAAAACATCCTTAAACTCAGATGATAGAAAATGTAGACGAAAAACGGGCAAAAAGAAAATACGATATACACGCGTACACCAAGTACTGTTAAACATGAGAAAGTGCCGGTGAGCACAGAAAGGGGAGCTATACACACCCTCTCTTTACCAAAGCTACAACGCCACTGCCGCTCAGTTCCTGGAAACCTCACAATCCCGAGAGAAATACACCACAAGAAATAAAATGGAAATAATTCAATGTTTCTTGGGTGGTCCGGTACCATTTGATCCACGACCGGTACCGATCTGCCGTCCGGCGGTTAAGGACCACGGTTTTAGAGAGCATGACTGATTTCTAACTGCGACGTAGCGCCGATCATCTTCCACCATCATGCAAATTATAAACGTACAAATGACTGGTAGTCGTAGCTATGGGGACAGCCCGACCTTCTGCACGTTCACATTATGTATGACAACGGAAGATGAGCGGCACTATATCACAAATAGAAATCAGTGATTGCGGTCGGCCGCCGTCACCCATGGCTCAGTGGCTCCTAAGAGTAAGTCATTGCTTCGAATCCGTCAAGATTCGACGCATACGCTCTGCTACATAGCCTCAATTGGATGCAGCGATGCAACGCTTTCCTGACCTTATAGTGGCACTCTAGCTGCAACGAATCTTCTCAAAAACGCAATAAACCCTGCTATTACTCTGTTTAAACAAATATACAGCTACCAACAGCAACTGTGCGGCAGTTAGCAAGCAAAATGTCCAACAAGACATTCTATCCATAGTGCACACATGCACATATGGCTTCGATTTGGTCAATTTCGATTTTGTTGGGAGTACACTTCCGCATAATTTTCCTGTTGTTTTCCAGGAATGTGAAACTAAAATTGTGGTGAATATTGGTTGTTGCTCGCCCGAAGACACTGCAACCCAAGACCGGTATAGCTAACAGGCATTCGAACTCGGGGCATTTGGAATGTCCACCGAAACCTCTGCGCTTTGGCTACACCGGGTCATGACGGGTAACGCTTGGCACAACGGTTACTCACTGGTTGGAGGGTCATTTTGAAATACGCGTTGTGTGATTCAATGGCGACGCGCAATCGCAAGGTGGACCCTGATTCCCATTGTACCGAATCTTGATCATTCGACCAGTAAGGCTGTAGCTAAAGCGGATGGAAATTAGGTGTTTCCCGCCGGAAACCACTGCACAACCACGACTCATTTCGCTATAACATTTGATCTTCTCAGATAGAGATGGCAGGCATGAAACCCGAGGTCTTTGGGATGTTAGCTGACACTTTTAGTCCTGAAACAGTGTTGTGATTCCAACAACCGTCACTAATGCGTTTGCTTAATTCCAACCTCACTCTTTTAACTAGTGAGTTTTATCGACCGTTTGCTGTTGTATGCTTATTTCTCCCACATTTGCCTGAATTTCTCACCGCAGGGATGCAAATTATGGTAGACCAATCCATCACCCTTCAACGTGTTGTTTCTTTGTTTGTTTTTCCGGGTCACTCACTTCGCTTGACTTTATTCTTCTACGTTCAGTGTAACAATGTAAGCTAAGACAACACAAGCATTCCTGAGCCTCGTTCGCCTACCCTCCTATGTCACGCAACAACCCTTGGTTCCATACGGGCTGCGATGTTCCCCCCCCCCCCCTTTTATGTACACAGCCTCGAACTAGTGAGTCCGTTAGCACAAGCCAACTGGCAGTGTTTCCGGTGAATCCCGTAGCAGTATCAGTGTTTGGTAAGCTAAAAGCAATACTACTGCGCCAAGGATCAGTGGTGTACAAGTGCTGGCAAAGTCAGACGCTAACGTACAAATAACGGATCATACCTACGTCCTGACAGAATTAGAATGCTTGCGAACAGTAGATGTATGTGCAATATGGTTAGATACAGAAGCAGCGCATGCCTCGTACCCTCCGAGAGATAGGTCCAAGATGAATGGAACACTTGATGACCAGATGATATTTTCCACAATGAATCACACTGTTCGCACCTTGCGTTCTTGCAAACGGACAGATGCTGAGTATTTTAGGTCATTTGTTTGTCGACTCACGTAAGTTGCCAATTTAATTTCAACTTTCCAACTTACAGTCGGGCGATGCTTGATCCTGATAATCATTCAGCATCTATACGCCTACTTTTTCTTTTGATATAGTTTGGTTGGCATTACATTTTGAACCACAAGCATAGCACTCATAGAATTGGAAACTTGTGCAATCCACAAGATGATTGAATTAAATCACCAGGCCCTTGTTTACCGTTACTTGAAATTTAATGGTATAACTCGTCCGCTACATTGTTTTGTCTTCTGCTAGTTTTGAAGCTTCTATATTTCAAACTCTGGATGGTTTTCTGCACATTGTTAAGATGCAGTGATCAAAAGCACCAAGGGAAGCACGATTTCACACGTGGAGAGCGAATACAGTTTCATTGTTGGTTGCTTGCTTGATGTTGAAGCTCTCCTTGTTTGCATGGAGTGGATCACGTGTCCTCCGCTTGATCCATACCTCATTTTGAAGTGACTCTGAAGCAGTCCGTTTACTGCTATCGTGACTGAAATCCGACGATGTTTCCCCCATTTTCCAACAACTATATAGCTGATTTCGCGGCTTGTTTCCGCCCTTCAAATAACTGCGATTAGAACCCGAGACATGCGAAATATCGACAGGCTCCTTTACCTTTGAATGGATCTCAGTGCTGCATTTTCCCAACACAGATTCTTGTCCTCCTTTGGACTTTAAAGTAGTGATAGCCTGAGCTAGGAGTGAAAATTTAGGGCCTAATAGTTACGGGCCGGTGCTTTAAACATCGGCTCACCGAAATCCTTGAAGAACGCTCAACACAGTGGGTAAAGATTCATAGTTTGTTTTGAAATACCTATCCTTCTTTGCCTTTGTTCTTGAAAATTGCACATGGTGCTTATCTGATTCACGATTCACTCGCGAAGCCAACGATAGTATTTCACACTGTCGTCGCAATTTCCCTTCTAATTCTTTCATCCAACCTTTGCGAACTCATACTGATTTCGACGGGTTCTGTGTTGTTCTCTTCCCCCCCCCCCCCAACACTGCACTTTACGATCGCTTCCGTCCTTGCGAGGACTTTTCTTATCGGATTTGGTAGTAAATGCAAGTACGTACATATCCACGACTGACACCTTGACCACAGGCCACTGAGCTCCGTGAGCAGCGCTGGATACAGCAGTCAGAAATTCATTGTTGAATCTTGGAATGCCCGTCCTGTGTCTGGATTGCGACATGCAATCTCGATTGGGGCCACGGTTTCCATTGAATCAAATCGCCATTTCGATCACTGAGGCCCCACCCGGAGTGCAAGAGGTTCGGAGTTGCTGTTTCCCCGGCACTGCACTCCACAACCGACCGTTTTCGTCTTGATGTGTACTCGTCAGTTAGAGAGAGAGCTTCAGCTGTGAGGAGAACCCGACACCGTCGTTGACGGTTTTCATCTTGATCACTAGGCCATAGCTCCGCGAACACCGGATGCCACAGTGGTTCAAAGTTCATTCTTGTGTCTTTGAGTATTCGCCTTGTGATTCTGGACTGCGTGCCGCAGTCTCAATTAGTATGGCTGTCAATCCAATCTGACAGCTGGGCGAGAAAGCTGAGTGCCCACGCGCGCGTGTTCGCCACAAATCGTGCCTGGGACAGACCCTGTGAGCGTGTTACCTGGGCCCAGCCGAAAGCTGATGAAATCACCCATCAGACAGCATGTTTGTTGCCAAGGCCTGACCGGAAGCTGATGAAATCGCGCGTCAAACATCACGTGCGTTGCTATGCTCCGGGTAGGCGGATGAAGACTGGCGTGCCCGAACAAGACGGCGAACTGACCGGACGGTGCGGACAATGGAGTGTGGAGCGTGGGCTAACAGCCAAATCCGCCAGGCAATGTTTAGAGGATTGGTGAGACCGACAAATAAATATGGGCGTTCTCTGTCCTAGTACAACTCTGGTCTGCTGAGTTTTCTTCTGTCTTCCTTTCTGTCGGGTTTCCCAAGGCGTTAAACAGAGCAGGCGTAAGGGCGCAGATTTACCAGCAGGCCTGAATCAACCGGTGGATTGCGGGCACAGCGTTATAACACAAACACACTGCGAACTCTCGCAAACCCAACACCATATACGGAATTTTTTCCAATGGATTATGTTTACCTTTATGCCTTTTCTTCTGCCGGTCCCATATTTACACCCTTGTCGTTTTTCTTTCTTCACTGCAGCGCCTATAGTCACGGCATCTGAATCTATTGTCGTAACTCAGTGATAGAAACATCGTTAACTTAGTGAGCTGTAGTCTCCCGATTACAGACTCCTGTTCCCACCCTGGCAATTCACATGAACCACTATCTCTTATGGCATGTCACCCAACCAGTTGCCTCGCTGTGTTCCTCAAACGTTCTCTTATATCCACTGCCGCCTTTCTCTCCCCAACAGTGTATTCGAGCTATAATGTCGATCGGAATTGCGACCGGACTGGGAACATGCCTCTAGTCATCACTCCTGGAACTGGATGCTTCCGAGTGGATTCTCGCCTACTTAAGCTGACTGACCAACGCGTTTTGCATTTTGGTGAGCGAATACGTAATGCGTATGCTTCAGTGAACACCTCCCTTTCTGTGTGTGCGATGTTTGGAAACATTGATTTTGATATTCAAATCAGGGAGGAATTTCCATTTTTTAAACTTGCAACTCTTCAGTGATTCCTCACTTTTTTGTGACGTCTACTTATCCGTCATCCTTCGGCTAGCTTTCTTTAAAATGCGACATGTACGCCAGCATTTCATTCTGCGTCTAACTCTTGTCCACCGACTCCATGTTAGACGATTGCCAAGATTCCATTTATTTCGCCTATTAACGGCGAAATACTGTCCACAGGGGGCGTTTCTCTCGTCCGACTGAAGTGCCTGAATGCAGTTACCGTTTAATATTGTTTTTGTATCCGTGGAACATTACAGCCTTCTCCCTCTGTACAGGTGTTGGGATTGACCTGATTTGTCTTGGTCCTCAGCCTTTGCATTCAGTGCCTTTGTTCGAGGTAAGTTCCACGGATGTAATTAGCTCTATCCTTGCTGATTACTTCGCAAGCCCCTCGTATTTTTTCGCTTAAAACCTACGCTAAATTCGCGTTTTCGTCCTCTTACTATCGGCAACTAGCTCGCCTTTTTCCGTCTTCGTTATTGTAAACTCCACGTCAAGTGGCTGCACTTCAGTTTGACAGAGCGCAGTCGAACTTTGCCTCTGCGTGCTATTAGGTGCCGTGATCTCCACCTTTCAGTACATTGTCAGACTTCACTTGAATCGTTAAGTCATGTCGAGTCAGTGTAAGCTTCATTTGCCCGAGCGGGTGCATTTTTACATTAACAATGACAACTAAGGACACACTATAAATGCGCCATTGAAAAAGCAGAGTTGTTTAAACGAAAAGTGGCATTAGGAGCACAGGTCTCACTAGAGTAGACGACCCCGAATTTGCATCTTATTGACGGTACGGTTTCGAAGCCCAATTTGTCCATCCGAACGAACATTTCTTAATTCACACAACACCTTTTGATACTTTCGTGTAGTAGTCGCAATATATCAAATTCCCTTTTCAGAAATCGTCTGAGAACAGCATTAGTGATCTTGTAAACAGCCTTGCTGAAGAAAATATTAAAAATATTTGATGAAAACCAATAACGAACATCGACACGACTTTTACCTATCACTACTCTCTCTCTTTCTTCAGGTTGTGGATGCAGACAGAGCGAAATATGTCACTCCTTATTGGATCGATTGCAGGTTAGACAAAGTCACCCACCCTTACCTCCTGTTTCCTCAGTTTTTTCAGGTCCACTCACGAGATGCGATGCATGGGTTTGGGACACCCCATCAATCGTATTCAGGTGGGTAGTTGATTGGCTTGTTTCTCATGTGTTTTCAGGGTAGAGTACGTTTTTGTCTACGCTCTCCCCGCTTCGAACGGTGGTTTTAAGACAGCAGGAAATTCTAGGTTGATGTACTGTGATTCATCCGTGTGACGAGAGGAACAGCAGTTCCTCTTCCATGTCATCAATTACCATTCATTTAGAACCTAACTCTGTTTTCAGCGGTTTCCTTCCCTTTCTCACTTGTTCGGTCGTGAAAGTCGTTTTTTCTAACTGGCGTATTCTGCTCATCCGCTTCGTAGTCTCAACCAACCGTTGTTAACGTTTTCCATATTTTGCCCACCGCAGTGGGACGCACCGGCCTAGATCAACTGTCCTAGGTCGCTTTGGTCTGTTTAAAAACTCACTAAATTTCATTTCTTTTACTAGTTTGCTCCCCGTACTTACTTATTATTATTCCAACAGATTTTCCCATCATTTGAAACCCACTCGGAAAAGTTCAATGATATTACCTCTACTGTTTCATCCACCTTAATCGGTGAAAAGCTGCTGGAGAAGTAAGTGTTTACGGTCTTTTTTTGCAAACCATTTTTCTAAGCCACCCCACTCACTAAAATTTTGGTGGGGCATCCCAATCTAATATGCGTGAATTTGTTGTCAGGGTAGAGTAGTGAATTCCAGATTTACGTAGATAAATGATTCTGCTGACAATTTATAAGTAGTTCGTTTTTGTTCATAATTTCACGACCAATTGCACGCGTCCGAAGTTTGCCGACGGACCGAGAAACTATGGTCATCGTTCGTTTTAGTACTAAAACGTATCTGCTTAATGAATCTCCATTTGTGGTCCTAATAATCACATCCAACTGGTTTATGAAGCCACTTACCCGGCTCTTGAATCAACCATATTCGTTTGTTCCTTTGGCTTTCGGATCACTGTTCCATTGGTGCGGTAATCCACCCACTACCTCGGAATTTAGTGATTCAGCCTGCTTTCGGCGTTTGTTTTCTGTAAAAGTGGTCCTCATTGACGAAGCGTTAACTGTTAAATCCTTCACCGTCTTCTCATCCACATGGGTGGTTAGGTTCGAGGATGCCGGATGTTCTCCGGGCTCCTATAGCCCCACGGAGTCTGGGTCGTTCACGCAACCCTCAGATTTCCCACTGGTCCAAGATCATTTCGTTCTGTTTTGATGCTTTTTAACAAGCGTTTGATCTCCATCTTCATTCACACCCCAAGATGCTCCCTTGTCATCCGTTAGCTTCTAACCACCCCTACTAACAGCACCCGCTTATTTTCTTGTCAACCCTTTTCCGATTTATTCTTTTTCCTTCATTTCTATCAAAGTGTTGCTTTTAGTTATTTTTAAAGACGACATCAGTTAAGGCAAATGAGGTCATCATAGTTCTATTTCTTAGATTCATAAATGCTTATCTTCGACTGGACTAGAAGGTTATATTTTTGTTGGTCACCATGACTATTGACTTTGAAGCGAACGAGGTGTGGTGGTATCTAATAATCTTCGGGAAGGGAGCCAGTGCTTGACTAGTGGTCAGGAAGCACAAAGCATTAACCACATAAGCCAACTGCGATCACACGGATTGGAAAGACGCAATAAAATTGGTTCAACATAGCATGAGCGAGGCACAGCGTTATTGAAGACTGGTTTGGTCTGAACAGTACGCTTGTGTTACGGAATCTTGACTGATAACACTAGCTGATCAACTGAGTGACAGAATCGACGCAGGACCAGTGGACGGGAAACGAATCGAGCGCCACCCACTCGAGCTCACCGCGATTGCATAGGCCAGATGCGCAGCAAGAAGTTGGTGTACTCCAATTAACGACAAACGTGGACTGCACCGTTTACTGGGAGCGAACAACGCTTACTTCTCGAAGTACATGAGCAAATTGTATCGGACGCAGCAGTGATAGCTATCCAGGAGGAAGCTGGTGCGGTTGAGTAGCGCTTCAGATGCAAATACAGCATAGATGATCGTATTGTTTATGAATATCGGCTATGTGATCGCTATTCAGACTTTTGTTTCGACTCTCGGTGAACTGTACGGCGAGCGTCTTAGTTATTGTCGCTCTGTTACACTTATGAGCGACCGGCAACATTCAATGGCTGGAATCATCCAGAGAGAGGTTCGCGAAGGTCTGTCATAGTATGCTACCTTATCCTTTGGGTTGTGGTCGCTAAGTCACCGTCTTCATCTCCTTCTACGACTTCAGTTGTTCTATCCTCCATGTGAGGCACGATAACTTGGGTTTTTTCCACTTATACCTAACGTGTATAATTATGAATGATGACTCCTTCATGTGTTTTAACGCCTCCTAGTTGTTTCGACTCTTACTCTGTACAGACGAAACTCTCATCAAAAGTATTCCACACATCCAGAGTAGCCAGTTGAATTCGGATCGGTACGGCCTATGCGACCCAGCAGCTGGATGTATACACGGGCTGAAACTGGAGAAGAAATGCGTAACTTCACACGACTGCACTTAGATCCAGAAAAGAAAGGCTGGACAACAGCGAGAGTTCGTTTACTGACTACGCGAAGGACAAACGTGTTTTCTACACCTTCGTATTTATTGCTTAATGGAATAACAGCATATTGCACATATTTTGAAGGAATGTAGATGTTAACATGGCATCCGAGTTGCCGCGTATTGGTAGTGCTCTGAGGTAGACTCAGTTTAGGTTAATGTACCTTTGAACGGTAGATACAGTAACATCACTATGGCGGAAGCTGCGCAGTTTTAATTCATACATATCAGCGGCTTCAGTGTGGAGAACACAACTGTTAGCTGCGCAGTACATGTCACACATGGGACCGTGAACTCAGGCGAACACTGCGGAGTTCCGCAAAATATTGCATTCTTTCTCACTTTCTACAGCGTTGCGGCTGCATTTCCCTGTTCGAGAATGTATAAGCGATCACATGTCCGAGTATACGCATCGGCTTTTAACCCTCCCATTCACTAGGTGGCAGGGACCTGGCACCTTCCCTCCTGCTCTGTCTGGCTCTGTTAGTCTGTTTGTACTTTTCTCGTCAATGATTTTTGTCATCAGCACTTTTTCCATCGAACAGTGCATTCTGACTTACTCGATTCTTTGCGCTATGCTGATTTTCATTCGTGCATTCGCAAACAACCAGTATACTCCAGAACGGTCAGTTGCATACTTCACGCTCCTCAGGCAGGGATTTTGAAAAGCGATATGCTGAGTGCATCTCGTATTCAATCTGAAATCGACACAGTTCCCCATGGGTCGACTACCTTGAAGTCCCTCTAGAGATGTTATCTGTCATGAGATGATACCATATGGCTAGATCTGTCTATTTCTATGCTATTCCAGTTGATCTGATCTTGATCCATGTAAAATCCAATCCTCCACCAAAATTAGGAATCAATGTTTCAGAGCAAAGGCGTGTTAGAAGAGCATCAACCGGAAACGGGTTGTGTAAATTCAATGGATATTCATAGGCCAACAAAGGCATGTGCACCACTTAGAACAGCTAAGTCAGTTGCCTCGATCCGTAGTTCACTGCCGCTAGCTAGTCAAAGGTCGGTACATGCGGTAGGAGTTGCTTGTTTGAGCAAAGCCGACCAGTGAGTAGTGGGCAAGCCAGAGGGTAAGTAATCCTTGTCGACACAAATTGTTCACGCCTGGACGAGACGGAGAGAGTGGAATCAGGACCAGCGACATCTAACAAGAACAAAGCCTAACTTTGTCATGAACAACAAAGCACCGCATTGGACGAATCGGCATCCGGCAGTCGGAGCAGCCATGAACCGACGAAGCATGGCCGCCTTTCACCGAGATAAAGTAGAGCTGATGCGTTCAAGCATAACCCGAGTCAGGTAAAGCAGACCGGCCACAAGTCGATTAAAAGAAACAGAACGCACATATCATCGAACAGATGCCGACCTCAAATGACACATTCGGAGACGTCGCGACCAAATAGTGCTCACTAGTTATATACAGCATAGCTGTCGCGTTCTTTACAAATAACAGTTCCTGATCATTGCCCAAACTTTGTTTTGACTCTCGTCGCGTTACGCTACGGTACGCAAATCATGTGACACAGGTAAATACTTATGAAACGATTGATGTTTCGGCTGTACACCATTGCATCAAATCGTTTTCTTGCTGACATGACTTTTTCTGGGAGATTTTATTTCCTCCCTGCATACATATCATTCATTGTCGTGTGTCTTCTTCGGGCTCGTTTAAATGGCCGCTTAATGGCCTGCGACTGCTGTACCAATGATATTATATGCCCAATGCTGAGGCTGATGTTGCATTCATGATGCCTCTTTACCCCAGTTGGGTTAAACCAACTTATACTCAAACTAGAACTCTTTAAGCTGGCTAAATTTCATTCCACTTTATTTGCTTTCTTCTGCCTACCTGAATAATCTTCTATTAACTGGCCACATTGCTTCCGCTAATTGCGCTTATCCTCGGTAACTTTGTTGCCTTCGTAGCATTTTTAAGTAACTTGTGCACATTTTCTACTTATCGCGGATTCGTTGCTAACCAACTTACTTCATATGGTAATTTAGGGAAGAGTTATGCCACCGTATCTGTATGCATTATCCGATTTATTTTATTTCATCTTGTCGTTTCAAATGATTGGCTGTTGTTTGATATCCCCGTTGTGGCTGCGCTTGATGTGCCTGTTGACAAGGTGCCTACCTTTCTATTACCCACTACCTCGTTCCTACTGGCTCCAGGAGACAGTTGGTCGTTGCTGGAGGGGACGGGGTGCACGGTCGTTGTGGCCGTGCTAGGCTCGAAGAGTGGTTCCATGCACTGAGTGTGGAGCGGACTACGGTCCAGCCACCGCCTTGTGTGCGCTTGATTCCCCAAATACAGCGTGTTTATATTTGCTTGTGAAGGAGTGTGGGCTGGCTCCGTTGATGAAACGTGGCTCCCATCCACATGTCTCCCGGTCTTACTCCTTCGGGTTTACACTGGATATGGGGTATGTGGTTGGAGCTGTGGGTGGTGAGGCGAAAACCACCCACGGTCCTGTGGCTGGCCACAGTGACAGGCAAATCCGAAACCGGATGCCGGTAACCATATGTCCAATGCCCAATGCATCAATTGATACAATCAAATCCGGTTTATTGTCCACCTCGCTTTATCGCCAAGTTTTCCAACATACAACCTCTTTTCTCATAAATAGGCTAAATTTTCACCGTCTGATTTTCTGGGGTCGTCCCATCGCTTAATTGCCCAGCTGCGTGTGCTGTGCTCTTTTCGCTTTGTCAATTTTATGCCCTCTGACTCTTTTATTAAGATTGCCCCACAGTTAGCCAGCCCGATCCAGTCAAGAACAACAAAGATGTCGGCGGCGTTATTGACAGATCAGAAAAGGTTACCTGTCATTCAATACACGATCAAGTGAAATGTACAGACGGCTGGGGATAAACCCTGTTCAAAATTCAAGAACTGAACAAAGTCGGGTAAACTTTCCGCTCCACGTTTGCCACTACTCTATTGGTTACACACAAGTATGCCAACTAACAGAAGGTATTTGTCCT